GCAAAAACAGCAAGCCAGAGCCACCAGAGAAAACCTTGAAGCCAGACTGGACCAGGCCGACACCCTGCTGGACAGAGCCCACGCGGAGCTCAAGAACAAGGATGGTCGGATCCAGGCCCTGGAAAACCATCTGGCTGAGACACAGAGAGATGCCGCCCAGGCCCAGCATCACATTGGGAATCTGGAGCAAGAACTCCAAAAGAGAAGCTCTCCACCCCATGAGGAGGAGGAGACGGAAGAAGGCGAGATGCCTCACACCAGCAAAAAGCTTCAACATGCCCTGGAAGAGCTCAGAGCTGAAGCTGACCAGCAAAAACAGCAAGCCAGAGCCACCAGAGAAAACCTTGAAGCCAGACTGGACCAGGCCGACACCCTGCTGGACAGAGCCCACATGGAGCTCAAGAACAAGGATGGTCGGATCCAGGCCCTGGAAAACGATTACTGGCAGTGGCACAGAGAGATGCCGCCCAGGCCCAACATCACATTTGGAATCTGGAGCAAGAACTCCAAAAGAGAAGCTCTCCACCCCATGAGGAGGAGGAGACGGAAGAAGGCGAAATGCCTCACACCAGCAAAAAGCTTCAACATGCCCTGGAAGAGCTCAGAGCTGAAGCTGACCAGCAAAAACAGCAAGCCAGAGCCACCAGAGAAAACCTTGAAGCCAGACTGGACCAGGCTGACACCCTGCTGGACAGAGCCCACACGGAGCTCAAGAACAAGGATGGTCGGATCCAGGCCCTGGAAAACCATCTGGTCGAGGCACAGAGACGTCTGCACAAGATGAATCACCAGCTGATCAGCTCCCAGGAACAGCTCACCGATGCCAGAATGAAACATCGGGCTGACGCAGAACAGATTGACCGGGTGAGACAGAAATTGAAGCAAGCATATGAGGTGAAGTTGGAATTCGAGGCACCCTACGAATCAGCGACGGGTCCGACGTCATCTCCAACAGTGTGGTCGCTCCCAAGGCACACGGGGATCTCTCATCGGGACGAGGTAACTCCCTGCGCCTCACCGGACCTTGAGGAACCAAGAACCCAGAAGGTCTCTCTCAGAGAAGACACCACAGATGGGACAGGCCTATCAAAGCGAACATTACACCAGCACCGGGCTACCACAAAGGAGCTTGATAAAGTAGCTCGGAATATCAACACGTTTACCCCGAATCCCAGAGGAGGCCACGACATTCATGCCTACCTCCAAGACATTGACTTCCACCTCCAAATACTGGACAATGTGACCAATGAGGACAGAATCTACCTCATCAGGATCACATCTAGCCTGGAGGTCCGCAGCTTCTTGGATCGACAACCTAGTCGAATCAAAGCCGACGGCATGCTACTGCACGAAGCACTGACTCGGGAGTTTGCTGATCCTGAGTCAGAACAAGGTATCGCCGTCGCCTTCGATGTTAAACAGAGCAGACAAGATGCTCCCCAAGGCTACTACAATCACCTTCGTCGGGCATATTTTGGGTCCAGAAGTGAGCCAGATATGGAAGAAGATGCGAACTTCAAGGCTCTCTTCCTTCGGAACCTCCACCCAACCATCAACCTCTACCTGGGGCTCATGGCTTGTCCCCGCACCATGACAAGTCAATAACTGCGAGACCTGGCGATCAAGGCGTACCACAAACAAAGAACAGCAGCAGTGAGAAGGCAACCAAGGCTCCGGCAGTGCTGAACCATGGCACTACAGATCCCAACCTAGCGTTGGAAGGTGGCCACCCTCCTCATCAACCAACAATCCACGACTGAGGTTGGAGAACAGCAAGCCATGGTGAGCATTACCCTGGTCCGCCTTCACAGCAGTCAAAGACCCAGCCGGACCGGTGGGAGACACAGCACTCTCTTAACAAAGGGAAATCAAGACCAATGGAGCCTTGGAACAAACGGGGAGACCGACAGGGAAACCGGTTCCCTAAGCCAAGCTCTCCCCCAAGTTCCTGACGGAATCCACCACGGAACTGGCAAGACAGAAGGAGAGGTCACGATCCCGACTCGAGGTCTGGACGAACCAAGGAAGAAGAAGAGTCTAATCTACTACAGTTACTGTGTGATTTCTTTGCTCAGCATCCACTTCAGGGCCCAGGAGACTTTCGGAAGAAAGATCCAAAATGACTAGGACGGAAGCACAAATCACGCAGGACCCCACAACCCTCACCTGAACCCACACCAGACAATGCCCACAAACTCCCTCAGATGTCAGGCCCAAATGACGCTCAACAGCCATCGGCCTTCCCTACCAGAGATATTGGAACAACTGAAGAAGTCCCACCTGAACCAGAATGAGCGGCTGACTCAGGCCTGGTAAGAGCACCTGATGTCGCCGTCACCAACACACAGCTTGATCAAGGGGATGAGCCCCTACCAGTGCCTGACAGCGCTGTCCTGGTTGTAGGCTGTGACTCAGAAGAGCAGCAACCCAACTGGGGTGATGCCTCACTAATTCCAGGCCAGGCCCCTGTGCCACAGCTTCTGGGTGAACTGATGGAAAGGGGGGTAGCCAAGAAATTCTACCTCTCCATCACCCTGGAAGATGTTCTCACCCTCGAGGCCCTCGTCGACACTGCAGCAGACATCACCCTCATGTCAGCCAGTCTCTTCTACCAGGTGCAGCACCTACCCGCCCAGAAGAACAAAACCCTCCAGCCGAGGAAATGCTCTTTGGACGTGCAGGCATATTCACCAGTGGGCACCAGGATGGATCACATGATCCCCCTCAATTTGTCCATTGGCCCCATGAATGTAATGCACCCTGTATACATTTCCCAACTTGAGTCCATTCCATTCCTCATTGGGAAAGATTTGCTGAACCGGTTCGAGCCATTGTTAGACTTCCAACGTCAGAAAATTTGGGCTCAAGTTAAAGAACCGCTGCCACTGTGGACACCTGACACAGCCACATGGGAATGTCAAACCCTGGCTGTATCCTCGGACCTCACTACATACCATGGAGAGAACATAGCTGGAGATCAGTGTCTTGACACAAGAGACCAATACCAGCATCATGAGTCCTTCCTTTTCAGGATGGACCCTACCCCGGGATCCTTCTGCCCCAAGATCAGGAAATGCATGTGGCTCCAAAGCATGGAAGTCACAGATGTGGTCATGACCATGGAGGTAGAAGAGTCACCAGTGACAAAAGAGACTATGTCACGTAGAGCTTGCTTGACAACTAACACCTGACAATCCATGCCATAACTGCCCAGCCTGACGCAGTACAGCCACCCAGCTGCCACAACCATTTTCAGGAGGGACCAGCAGCACCCTGCATTTTGGACATGCCGACGCCAATGGAACTGTCGCGACACCACTACTTTGAGGAAAATGTCTGTCAAGACATGATCACCATTTATGTAGATGGGTGCGTATTCAAACATCAGGGGACCCTGAAAGCTAGAACTAGCATTCCGTGGCTCAATGACGACCTCGTCCCACCACAACGGCTCAAACTTGGTTCTAGAGTGTACAGAACTAGCTAGCTAACGTTACAAGCAACTAGCTAACGTTAGCTAGTCTAACACTGAAGCTCCAATTTAAATCTTGTGAAGATAACAGCGAAATATATAAAACACAAATATGGCTATTTGGCAGATTACACGTTTATAGAAATGTTATGAGACCGTACGTGAATGTCTGTTCTTTCGTATGGAAAGAGCTTGTTCTCCTTTCTAAAAACTTAACGTTACGTTACAGAGGACCGCGTTCCCGTTAAGCCCCTCATGCGGTAAATTGATTTGAAGCACTTTTTGTATCAACACAATGCTCGGTCATCATGACTTTCATTACGAATGTCTAACTTTCTTGTAACTAAGCTAAACAAAATGGGCACTTCGGTAATAGGCTTTTTTTTGTAATGCCTTAGTTTCAGTTGTTTCAATCCGTGTACATTCAGTTTCAAACCAGTGTATTGTGTATTATTAAGTCCAACATAGAAAGGACTCACATATAGGAAGGATGGTGTGCATGGGCCTTGTTTTTATGTCCACACATATAAACTACACCGTTTTAACAGATTGGTCACACAATCACAACAAAGATGATCTCATTAGCCATTTTCAAATTGTCTAAATCTTGTGTCTTTCAGAAAAGGGGAGTGCAAAATAATCCTGACTAGGACCACCAAGATTTTATACTTTGAGTCAGGTAAGCATTAAACTGTAAACATTTGTTGTTTTCTAAGCAAATGAAATAATAATAATAATAATAATATTTTTTTCTACTTTTGTCTTGCAGGGGGAGCCATACATTGAAGTCTAGGGAGAACGTAGATTTCTCAAAGGAGAAAATGTAGGCTTTTAAGATGAGGTGGTTATGCAAACTTTGCAGTTTTAGGGCAACAACACGTTTAGCACTTCTAAAGCATTACAGATTGACACATATATTAACTGGCCATGGTCGCTCTTTACCTTGCTTGTATTCAGACTGCCCAAGTGCATTCAAAAGTTTAAATTCACTTCATGCCCATTTGTCCAGAGAGCATTGCCAAACGAATAAGTCAGGGGAAACTGTTGCTTTCTTATGCCTTATCTGTAACGTATCTGCATTTCACACAGAGAAGCAGTATTTTGAACACATTGGATCTCACCTCAAAAGGCACGAAACTGTTCATTGTGTTTTTAAAAATTGTGACTACAGCACCAATATCTATTCAACTTTTGCATCTCATAAAAGTAGAAAACATACTCCTCACTGTCTTCAAGATTTTAAAAGTACATTATTGCAGACATCTTTAACTAACACAGAACAAGTTGAAGGAGATGTAACTTTAATTGTCAGAAGAAAATGAAGATGTTTGTTCAGAAACTGTAGTGGTAGAGGGAGATTCGGTGAAGGCCATTATTGATCATCTTAGTGCCTTGTTGCTTAAACTTGACTGCATCCATAATATCCCTAGTAGGTGCATATATGATATTGTTGAGGAGCTTCAGTTCATTAATTCTTCTGCTTCAGTACCTGTGATCAAAAATATTATCTTGGACACATTCAAAAATCACAACTGCAGTCCGGATCCAAAGTTGGTCACAGATTTGATGAACAATATCTGCCAACTAAGCCCCCTTAGTGTTGCATTCTGTAATGGTGGTCCCCTTGCTTCAGCATATCACAGAAAAGAGTATATAAAAAAACATTTCTCTGTTGTTCAGTCCGTCGAATATATACTTGATTCAAAAGATGGAAAAACCTATCAATATGTACCATTGTTGCAGTTATTGTCACAGATTTTACAAAACGGTGACATTGTCCAAAATATCTTAAATAATGGAGTATGTTCTACCACAGGACAATATTGTACGTTTCGTGATGGTTCCCACTTTAAGGAGAATGCATTTTTTGCTGATGAGGAGTTAAAACTTTCACTTCTACTGTACTGTGATGATTTCGAAATATGCAATCCCCTTGGAACATCTAGAAAGAAACATAAAGTAACTGCTATCTACTGGGTGCTGGCTGACATTCCTCCTTTCTTAAGATCTTCATTGTCTTCTATTTATTTGGCAGTGTTGTGCAAGGCAATCGATGTAAAGAAATATGGCTACTCTCGCGTTCTTGAGCCGTTATTGAATGATTTGAAAAAGTTGGAAGAAAATGGAGTTTTTGTGCCCAGTTTAGGGAAAACGGTAAAGGGAACTGTGTTTTCGGTGATTGCAGACAATCTCGGTGCTCACTCCCTGGCGGGGTTTGTTGAAAGTTTCAGTGGGTCCTATGTTTGTCGATTTTGTGTGGGACAGAGATCACAGTTTGAGGAGGTTGAGGTCAGATCAGGAGTTTTCCCTCCTAGAACAAAGCAGCAACACGAGCTGGACATCCAGGAAGCTTTGACAAGTAGGAGCCATTGTCATGGTGTCAAGATGCATTGCACAGTTACTCAGAGATTAGGTCATTTTCATGCCACAACAGGATACCCTCCTGATGTCTTACATGATTTGCTCGAGGGTATTATACCTCTAGAGTTGGCCTTGAGCATAGACATTTTCATTAAGAAAAAATATTTAAATCTCAATGAGCTTAACCAAATCATCAAACAGTTTCCATACAAATGGAAAGACAAGACCAACAGCCCACAAGGTATCCCGCTAAACTTTGCAGCACGTAAGAGTATTGGCGGTAACGCCCATGAGAATTGGTGCCTTTTGAGGTTGCTTCCATTCATGATTGGAACTAGAGTTCCTGAACAGGAAGAGGCATGGCAGTTAATAATGACATTAAAAGATGTTGTTGAGTTGGCTATGTCTCCCACCCACACTGATGAAAGCATAGGTTACTTAGATAGCCTTATTGCTGAACATAGATCTCGATTCAAAAATGTCTTTTCGGACGAAAAGCTCATTCCAAAACATCACTTTGTGGAACACTACCCACAACTCATCAAAGCTTTCGGCCCTCTTGTGTCCTTATGGACAATGAGATTTGAAGCAAAGCATCACTTTTTTAAGAAGGTTGTGAGGCAGACCTGCTGTTTCCGCAATGTTTTGAAATCTATGGCAAACAAACACCAGTCCATGATTTCATACACACTCTATGGCCCAGATGATCGGAAATGTGCAATTACTGTAACAAAAACGAGCCGCATTCCAATAGACATTGTAAATAAGGACATACAGAAATACATGTATCAAGAATTTCCTGCTGAGAAAGTCGTTCATTTGGCATTGAATGCAGAATATCTTGGCACTCTCTATAGTGCTGGCATGATGTTGGCATATGGCTCCACCATTGGTTTCCCTGACTTTGCTGAAATAGTACAAATGATTGTTGCACAAGACAGCTTAGCCTTTGTAGTGAAACTACAAACTGCATGGTACTTTGAACATTTCCGAGGTTTCATGCTGGAGTCCACTGGTATAGTCAGAGTAGTAAAGCACTCAGAACTCATTGACAGATACCCACTGGCTGCTTATGTGGTGCATGGAAAGCGAATGGTTTCTCTTAAACATCACATCTCATTGTACAACTAGGTACAGTATTATAGTATTTATTTTAAACTTCAGCTTTTATTGCAACTTATTACTTGGCATAGGTTTATTAGAACACACATTTTACACATTTAGGAAGGATAACTGTTAAAAATGGTCATAGAACATATCTATAGTATACCATAATAATTTGTGCTGTTTTTTTTTTTCTTTTCAGTTCTGCGTTTGAAAGGCCTTTAAGATGTCCACCATGATTGTTCTGCGTGTTGTTATTGGAGATACACAAGTTCACAAATTGGTACTACCAGAGGGTGTACCTAGCACTGTAGAGGACCTTTCAGCTGTCATCCAGGAGCAGTATCAACTTACTGGAAGTCACGCTGTTATGTATATGGACAAAGATTTTGATAATCAGTACTTTACTCTGACATCCACGGATGTAATTAAGGACAAAGATACAATTAAACTCATTCCAAATGAAGATCCCACTTTGACTTTGATGCTGACTCCTGTAGCTGAGACTGTAGAAAGTTCATCTTCCTTCTCCCTGGATCAGTCCAGTCAGGATCCTGCTGCTGCGTCTGTTAGCTCTGCTGACATAATGATATTACCAAAATCGCCAGAGTGTCGCTCTAAACAATGGCCTGCATATTTTGAGATCCCCACTTTTTCTCACAATGTGGAGATGCTCCTTCAAGCTGGAAATGATACTTACGAACGTGATGGAACCGTCCTGCAAAATCCGGCAATGACCTCCGACATACTTGAGACAATTGCAGATTCCATTTTTTCCTACACAGCTTACCCCACAGGTCTCCAAATACTGTCTGTTGTTGAAGCCCTGGTTAAAAAACATCCATGCTTAAAGGAGCCTGCAACATCTTTGTCTGGATTATATGGATGGCAACAGCGTCTCAAATATAAGATGAATAATTATCGTTCTAAACTCAGAAAGCGTGAAGTGCCTTGTCCAGAGCTAGAAATCAACTCCATGAAAAGGAAGAGACCTGGTGACACAAATCCAGCTAAAAACTGTAAGAAACCAAAAAGAGCGGAAGTCAACTATCTTCCTCCACACCCACAAGGAGAGACAACTGAAAATTTAGAGAAGATACGACTAGAGCTACTTGAAGACATTAAAAAGAAAAACAATTACGGGGTGATTTATCCAAAAATGGCCCAAACCTTCTCTTATCGAAGACTGGAGGTGGTGACTGGTAGTCCAGCTGCTGATGAATTCAAAGAAAGATGGCCAGCTCTCTTTACTGAAGCAGGGGTAGGTTAATTACAATTTCTAAAACAGTTTTAACAGTTGTGTATAATATTTAGTTATTTTGTTTTGTTGTTTTTTGTCTTGACAGATAAAAGAAGAGTTTCGGAGAATAACCACCATTCCCCTTGAGCAGACCTTCATGTTCAATCTGGATAGTTACACTCCAAAACTGCTTTCTGTACTTGAGAAGAAGGGTGGCGCTATTGGTGCAAAACTGAGACCTATTTTGGATAAACACAGACAGGTGTGTTTACTTGGTCACAATTGTTGAGCGCATTAAAGATATTTACCATTAATAAATCCCTGTCTCTTTCCAGAACGAAACAGTTGAGATGAGACGTGGCGATGTGATTCGTGGATTAATGCTCTACCTTGGTGAAAAAGAGGAAGAACTCTTTCTAGACTGTCAGGTAAAACTTGAAATTTCTGTGACTGTCTTTATGATTTATATATATTATAAATTAAAGCTGATATCCCTCGTCTTGCAACAAAACAAGGTCTCTCAGATTTTAAAATGGTTACTCCTGGTCCAAACTTATCACTTTTTTCCTAATGGATTTATAACATCCAAAATCTTCATAGGAGTGGGTTTAAAACAACTTTTGGGAAGGAACACTGTCACGATAACTTCTTTTCCTGTTTACAATCAATTAAAAGGTGTAAAAAAATAAAGTATTTTGAGGAGCAAATGTCTCTTTTTACAATATATTGAAGGAGAGGACTTTTTTTCCCCTGCCAATGGATGTGTAAAAATCAGGTATAGCTCCCTTACTCATACTGTTCCAGACAAAACACATTCACCTTTAGTTACTTATTTTAATTCATTGTAATATTTATTACAATGAAATAA